TTGAGAGAAATAGGCCTTTTGTGTACATAGAAAAAGTCTTAGATCTTTGAGTTCAGCTCATGAAAAATGGGGGCAAAAACAAAAGTGTTGCGTTTATATTTTTGTTCAGTGTATTTATTGTAAGAAATTTACTAAATATCTTCATGGAACATGATCTTTACTTAATATCCTAATGATTTTTGGCATAAAAGAAAAATCAATAATTTTGACTCATACAATGTATTTTTGGCTATTGCTACAAATATACCTGTGCTACTTATATATATATGTGACCCTGCATCACAAAAGCAGTCATATGTATATATGTCGTACAATTGTGCTTCCTCAATAGGTTCATTCTTTCTTTGTAGAGTGTGGATCTTACATAATTTAGTAAACCATTATATTTTAAATTAAAACATATGGGTTCATATACTCACTGCTTTTGTAAAACTTTCACCAGACCCAGAATCAGCAAGAGCTTCTGTTGTGATTCTTCCCAGAAAAGCACTATTGACTGAGTTGATGAAGCTGGATTTTCCTGCTCCAATTTCTCCAACTAGCAAGATTCTGATGTACTTAACGTTTGAATCGCTCAGCTTAAGTTCCCTGAGGTTTTTGTCCAAAAGTTCTTTCTTGCTGTTAAAAAAGGGGCCTTTTTACAAAGCAATGTTGAAGATACACACTTTTGCTTGTACAGATAGATTATCATTTTTCTTTTTTAAAGAATAATTATTTTCCACTTACTCCCAGGGTGTTTCCCTCCATGGTTTATCAAATTCTGTTAATAGAGATGGAAATAATTTATGATTTTGATTACTGCAAAATAAAAGATAGATATGGAATGGAAAATCAATTAAGTATTCACTCAAAACCAACATCAAAGGAATATTTCAAATGTGTCTTCCTTCAGAATGATAGTCTTAGATTAGGTATTGACCAATCTTAGACTTCATGAAAGTAAATACACATACAAAATGAGGGGTAAAACAAGGAGCTGGCGAGACTAATTACAAAACAAGCAAAGAAAGGAAATACCAAGAACTGACCAAACAGGTGAAACATGACATGCGTGCTGGTAAAAAAAAAAAGAACTCTGATAAACAATATTCCATTAAGCTAATTTAAAAGCTAAGTTCGAAAGTTCAAGTAGTTTTTTGCTATTATTTAAAAAACTTAAAGGATTCACTATAAATATTATAAAGTCTAAGGTGAGCTCTAATTTCGACATATTTCAACTGAGTACAAATGTAAAATTTACTTAATCAAGTTCATGTTTTAACCTGAAACTACTAATTATTTTCTGATCTATTTACTATATATATTAGGGATGCCCCGAATTGAAAATTTTGGGCAGACGCTGAAAATTCTGGATGTGCTTGGCCATAAACTGAAACTGCTTTTCAATAATTATTTATTATTTTATTAAATAATATAAAATAATTTAGTAAGACTTTTTAAATTTAACTCAATAATTTTAATGATACTGAATATAGAAATACAAGCCAATAAAATAACCACGCTTTTATTAAAAGTAAAACAATGAAATTTGACAGAATATATATTAACATTAAATATCAATGTATTATTTTTATTTAGTTAAATGCAAAAGAATCGGATTTAACTTATTTGGATCATTTTAAAAAATAAGTTAGAGTCCTACAAGGCTATAATTATCAGATCATGTGAGCTGAGCAGAGCATCATGAGAAGGTAGCATCATTTCACCAGCGTTGCCCCGTACATTTATTTGCAATTGTTGCATGTGTTGACATAATTCAAATGCAACTTTCACATTTGTGTTTCAGTGTCTTGCAACGTCTTACAAGTGATCACCCTGTCATTTTGGAATAGCAATAGAAAATCACACAGTTGCTATTTCACATGTCCAGCCTTAACTCTCACAAAATGATGTCTTATCACAGCTGGCATACATGTAAAAACAATACAGCAACACTAAAATTAAACTTACCTGGTGGTGGTGTTTCAGTTTGGGGTGTTGATTTTGATCCTCCCATTGTGATCTCCTTCACTGTTTTCTTTTTTCCTTATGAATTTTGGAAATTCCACACTAAACAGTAAATTAAAAACAAAGGTGAATTCAATTCAACACAGAGTAATAACAAGACAGAGAGAATAGCTATTTAATGTTCTTCTCTTTGGGATGTGCATGCACGCTGTGAGAGCATTTCTGATTTCAAGCTATATTTATACCTCCAGGTCCAAATTTCACTTTAACCTATACTTTACTAACCTATACTTTGTGCCATGTCAGACAATAAAAACACATCTGGACAGATTCTGTTTTCAAGGTAAATTATTTAATGGATTGAAACTAAAAGAGAATTGCAAGACAAGGTAACAGATTGACAAACTCAAAACAGCTTACAAAATGGATCAACTGTGTTAAGATGATTAAGATTTTTTAAAAACATGCTTTTCACATATTTTGACCTTTCTATGAAAAGGTATGTTTTGCTCACATCAAATAACTGTAAGAACGCTATATTTGTAACAAAATATATACAAATGTTTTTTCTGAACAGGATTTGTTCTCCTCTTCATCATCTCAGACATCCGAATTTATCATTGAGCCGTAGACCACTTCTCATGTGGCTTCAGTTCTCTTTTAAATAGAGACGCAACTGAATGACTGAATCACATCTGTGTTTGTAGCATGTTTTCTGCAGCAAATTTGGTGATCTTCAGCTGCTTTTGGGTTACTCAGACAGAAGCTGTCCAGCCTCGTATTTCGGGTTTCTTTCTGACTGTGAAAACAGAACTCTATTCCGTGCACTATGTATCTTCAGTGGAAGCAGATGCTTTGTTATAGCACAATGGAGTCATACTGGCTTCACCACATTATCACACTGCTTACTCTGCGGTATACACACTATATTTTGTAAGCATACAGTATGCAAATTTCCTTTACCAATATTACCTTCTGTAATCATTGTTATTTCCTAAATGCAGGCTTTATGACCAATAATTCAGAATTAACATTAATTTGTTGCATTGATTGAACTAAAATGTTTAAATTGCTAGCCTAGCTCTCCTCTGCAGAGATGATAGCACGAACAAATTATTTCCATCAGGTCAAACCTTTTATTCCTTCAGTCAAACAGTGTACTTTATCAACCACGTTTCAAGTTTAAACCTGTATAGCGGTGGGGTTGGGTGGGGGAGGATTGAATAACTGTAAAGATTTCAAGTAAATGGAAAGTGAAAGGAGAATCGCAGTTTATGCAAACCAATCTCTCATCGACCACTTTGAAAATGAAACCAGCATAAATGATTACTTTTAAGTGAGGGAAAGTGAAGGCTGTTTATATTGGTGCAAATGTCTAACACAATTCTCTAGACTCTCTAGATCAATAATTATCACAACAAAAAAAAAGAAAGAAAGAAAAAGTTTAATTTTATCCTTTGGGTACCTATAGGCGGTTTTGCACCAGAGAAACCTTTTCATAGCTCCTAGAAATATTGGTGGAAGTTTCCGCTTTTTGGCACGTTTGCACCGCAGGAACTAGGAACGTATTTACCCAGAGAGCAACATAGTGTCGGCCCAGATCCGGCCCACATCTGGCACATGGGGAATGAAGATCTGGCCCACGTGTGTGATGTGGAATGATGGCACTTGGGCGGACCGCTCCTGTATTCCAGATCTGGGCCACAAGCAGGCCATAGCAATGCCACATGTCAGCCAAGAGCAAAGAAATAAACCACACTGGACCTTATCTGAACCACAAAATATTCATATATTATTTATAGAGTCCTCTCAGCTTGTCTAAGCTTGTAAAGGGTTAGTTCACCCAAAAATGAAAATCAGCCCATGTTTTACTCGCCCTCGAAGCATCCTAGGTGTATATGACTTTCTTCTTTCAGACGAATCCAGTCGGAGTTATATTAAAAATGATCCTGGCTCTTCTAAGTGTTAGAATGGGAGCAGGCGGGCGTTTTTGTTCAACAGTCCAAAAGTAGTCAAAAAAAAGATCATCCATCCGTAATAAAACGTGCCTCACAAGGCTCCGGGAGGTGAATAAAGGCCTCCTGTAGCAAATTTTTATAAGTAAAATATCCATATTTAAAATGTTATAAAACTTTTTTTCTCACTTCTGCTATCTGTCATACGCGGAAGCTGTTCCGGCGGATGATGTAGGACAGGGATGGGCAACTTTGATAGTGACGAGGGCCAGCATTTTTTCTCCTTTATACTAAGGACAGTTAAAAAGGGCTTAATTTAAAAAAAATTGTTATTCTAAATGGTACCATAAATAACCTGGTATCTGCAGGATTTTTTAAATCAAATTTAAGACCGAGTCTAATATGATCCAGCGGGCCGTACTAAAAGACACTGCGGGCCGTCAGTTGCCCATCCCTAATGTAGGATGTATGCATCGCACGCGCATCTCAGAGATATGCTAGTCTCGCGAGTTTGATAAAGTAAGGAAACTTTGCTTCCTTTGCTCCTGTAAACAAAGGAAAACCAGTCTCCTCTTGGCTTATATTGAAATCCTCCAACATTCTTCAGCCACTACTATGATTGGCTAACAGTTGTGTATGTTTGACAGCGTACACTCATTCCTCACAGATGGACGCTGCTGTGATTTATGTTAAAAACACATACGTAAGATCTGTTTAGTAGACAAAGCAATATTGATCACGTAATAAAAACAGCGATGTAGAATCGGTGGGCGGGACTAAACAGAATATGTGGGCGGGGCTTAACAGGCAGTGATGTAGAAAAGGTGGGTGGGACTAAACAGGCAGTGATGTAGAATCGGTGGGCGAGCTAAACAGGCAGTGATGTAGAATCGGTGGGCGGGGCTAAACGGCATTGGGCAGGACTAAACAGGCCGTGATGTAGAATCGGTGGGCGGGGCTAACAGGCATTGGGCAGGACTAAACAGGCCGTGATGTAGAATCGGTGGGCGGGGCTAACAGGCAGAGCTGT